CAGAACTTAGTAGCACGAAGGATAACACAAAGATTTCTTCTGTCCTAATCCTGACCTCCACCCAGAGAATATTGCTCAGATGGATTGCTAAGTGAAAATCTAGCAGGTCCTGTTTTTATTATATTTCAGGAGTATTCCTACATCTGAATTTTATTGATTTTGATTTTGTTTTCTTGCTCTCTACTTCAGAAGGAAAAGGAGAGCCTAAACAAAGAATTACATGAACTGAAGAAAGAGAATAAGCTTTTGAAGGAAAAAAATGCTCTCGCAAACCAGAAGAAGCAACATTTCGAATGCGAAATAAAACGCCTCAATAAGGTATCAGGCCAGGTCAAGCTGGGAGATCAGATGGGAAGTCTTTGTACCAAAAGCATATTCTTGATTGAGACTCAGCAAAATCTACACTGCAGTGTGCCTCAGAGTTTTGGAGGCTTGCACAAGAGGTCTTTGTAATTTTCTAAATCACTCCTATCTGCTTTGTTCAGCCATACATGGCTAAGGAGTTTTTTGGAAATTCATGTCCCTACAGAGAATTGTCATGAAAAAAGAGAGACGTGGAGAAATTTTAGAAGAGAGTAAGAACACTTTTTTTTAGTTCAAAGAACCACATAAAGCAAGTGGGTGTTTGCAAACAGTAGTGTATCTCTTAGTCAACCGCAAACATTTCCTGAGGAAACAGGGTGCTCTTTAAATTCACCACTATGGAGCCGCTGAGTGTGATGCAGACTATGTGGAAGCACGCTAAATGCCAAACCTAAGGCTGTGATGGTGGCCGTCCTGAGACTAAGCCTAAAACTTATCTCTCAAGGGGGAGTCTGGGGAGTAGGTCTGTTAGGAAAATGCTGCTGATTTAATTCCTTTGCTCCAACTTAGATATTCAAAACGCCGTCTGTGAATTACTGCAAAGGATGACATGAGAGTGCACGTGTGTGTGCATGTGTGCGTGTGTGTGCTGTTTTATGGACTAATGTCTTAATTTTCTGGGGGGAAGGGATTGCTGACTTGTTCAGGGAAAAACATTAAGTCCTTTGCTGTTGATTTTTCCAAGAGCCACTTGTAGTGCATGGTTGAGTCAAGATATTCATCTCTCAAGCTAGATATTTCTTGATCAAAGTAACAGAAATTGTCTTCTAAAACAGGAGTAGGTGATTGGCCTCCAACACGTGCTCAGTGCTTGTATTTTGAAACGTGCACCATATTGTAGTTAACTTGTGTTCAGAGTTGTCCTTTAAAGATCTCCAAAGTTGATAGTTGTGTAGTTGCCTGTATAGTTGATAAGGTGCTTTCCAAATGTGGTGCTACATTTGATCTATTTGTGGGGAAAGTTATTATCCAGGGAAAAGTGGGAAATTGGAAATTGACTTCATAAACAATGCACCTCTCTGTTCTTTAAGAGAGAGAAACAATGTTCAGAGATACAGATTCAGAGCAAATGATTTTTCCTGTTTATTCTTTGCTGGAAATCTTTGGCAAATGAATTCAAAGAGCTAACACTGAGATTATATTTGAAATCTCTCCAAGTTTTGATATTTTCTTCTGTTCCCTAATTTATGTCTCTAAATGCAGGCACAAGGATATAAAGCCTGTAGAAATTAGAACAGCCAAGAATTCTGTTTTTTAACTCGCACCAATGTGCACCCTTCATTTTTGTGTGTCTGTATTTCTAGTCAACAGAAAAAATTTTAAAGTTAGTAAAAACTTTCTAACTCATGACCATAATCACAAACACTCAGTGAAAAAAATTAATTTGAGTATTCAGAGCTTTATAAAAAATGTCATCTTGTCAAAGAGGATTTTTCTGGGTATCTTAATTAAAATTACATGCTCCACCTCTAGTATTTCCTATTTTAACTTTTCCTGGGAATTTATTGCTATCTGATACATGCTTCATGCCTCATATTCATTATCTTACCTGTTTCCTGTCTCCCAGTCTTGATCGTAAGCTCCACATGAGTAAGATTTTTGCCAGGCTGACTTCTTTCCTATACATAGTAGGCACAGTGTTGAGGGCCCACAATACTTTTAGTAGCCCATTACTATGTTTAATTTCTCTTAAAATCAGAAGGAAAAAAAAAACCCTTTTAGACTGAAAAAATATTTTCATGTTATATTAATATATTCATTTCTCTGCAGTTGTGAAATAAAATGTTAATACATATTTATTTGGAGGAAGGGTCTTACAAAGACAGCAGTCATTATGGGGCCCCGAATTTCTCTATTTTGATCACTGTTGTAATCCAAGTGCTTAGAACAGGGCCTTGCTTATATTATGTTCTTCAGTATTTGATGAATGGATGAATTAAGCTAATTAATTTAATTGACTAGTACATTATACGTTCAATAGCCAATTCTCGCCCTGAGAGTCACGCTTTAATAGGCATAGCACATTACTTATGAGTAGTGAAGACAAACAAAAGGGTACTTCAAGCCAGAAAAGATTTCATCCCACACATCTATACCGTCAACTGTCACTTTAAAAATGTAGATAGAAAACGATGCGCTATGCAGAGAGATTCCTATCTCATTTAGTGCAAGTATCAGTGTCTAATGAAGTGTAAGAAATTATTATTTTGTTTTACACTGTAGAATTTTCTTTTTTTTTTAACCACTGTAGTAAATAGAGGTTACTCAAAATGTTGATTTGGGTAGCTGACTGCACACCATTCGTCAGTGTGGAATTTGGGGCTCGCCCTACTTACACAAACCGACTGCTTGCAGACCCAGTCCCTCAGCAGAAATTTGTAGCATGTCAGCTTAGCAGTTAACATATGGCTTTCAGAAGTTCATGTAACTGTGTGTACTCAGTTCTGCTTATTTGCTTTGAGGGAGATACCCAAGGGCATTGTTTTCATCAAGCTCTTGAAGAGAAGCCAGATGTTAAGTGAAAGAAATAACCTGAGGTCAGCCAACCAGTGCCACTCATGGGCAAAACTGACTTGTCTGACATGTCACCATTGTGACGTGGGCAGATCTGTTGAGTGTATCTGTGCTGATGGTAAATTGCTATTCTAGAATAGCTTACCTGTGTTTCTTCAAGGAAGTTGGAAAACCCCAAGATAGAATAAATGTCTACTAGACTTACCTTTCATTATGACTCATTTACAGGATTTCTAGAAGTCTCAATGGCCTGAAAGGTAGACCAGGAAGTTCAAACATAACAAGAACCACGAAATAGTATATTCACAGCTGTAGGATATGGAACCAGCATATTTAATTGTCTCAGTTCACTTGGTTCACCCCACCCGAGATTATCTCTCCTATTACTAATATATATTTTTTTAAATATAATTATTATGATACTTCCTAGAACTACTTAGCTTAGCAACAGATTCTAACAAAACACAAATTATTAAACAACTTCTGCTGTTTAATAATTCTTGGAGGAAGAAAAAAGTTTTGTTTTTTCTTACAACTTCCTGAAAAATCATACTTACATCAGATTAGACAGTATCCGTATATAAGACATCTATTAGGAAATTTATAGCCTGATTACTACACATATATCAGACCATAAATTTGCTTTGCTTTTCTACCTTTATGACCATATTGTATAGTAATGCAAGGAAGTGAGTTAATAGTATCATCAAATGAGTATCATTGAAGCTACTAAAGAAATACAAAGGAACTGAATTCTTGGAGCTCTGAAAGTGAACCTTTTAAAATTTGCATAGAGGACTCATTTGATAATAAGTGAGTAGTCATATTGTGTGTGGGCTTCGAGACCACAACAGGATGAGTGAGTTATGTTCTGTCACAATTTTTGATGGCCATTTTATTGAATTCATCATGAACCCAAAGTCTTTAGAACAGAGACAATGTCTTTTATATAATCTGACAAAGTAGAGTATATGTGTGGGTACTACGGGCTTATGAGTAAGGATGATAATCTGGTTGGCAAATCTAAGTGTCTCATTTCCTTCACCTCCTCACCCCACGATGAAAACACCCAAGTTGTGCTGAATGTCAAGAAAGCAGATCACCCTCTTTCTCCACCCTGTAGTGGGCTAGTGGATGTTTTATTGGAGAATAAGTATGACTGTGGCTAAGCCACGGCAGGGTATGCCAAAGGAGTACAGAGCAGAAAGGACAATGCATCTGATGGATAGTGAATCTGCCTGAGTTCCCGTTTTTGTGAGGTTCCCACTCTCCTCTTGGGCACGTGGTTACATAGCAGAAACATATTACTCAAAATGTCACCTGAGATCAGGAGCCCCAGCTTGTGAGGAATGCAGATACTCAGATCCTACCCCCAGATTTACTGATTCAAAATCCTTGGGGGCAATGCCCAGGGATGGGAGTGTTTGCTGGCCCTCCAGGTGATTCTGATGCTGCCTAAAGTTTGAGCCTAATTAATAGAGTATATCTGACTGCAGCAGAGAATCTAGAGAAGGGCTATAGAACTAGTTTCCTTTCGTGGTTGGCTATGTGGAGGGGGCTCTAACATCAATGCTCTCGTAAGTAACAGTGAAAGTTGACTATCATGAGCATCATTGTGGAGAATAGACAGAGATTCTGAAAAAAAAATAC